CTCTCTCACCCCGTGTCACTCCCCCCCCACCACTGCCTCTCTCCCTGTGATGGCGTGTCATCCTACAACTTTTTACCAAGCAAGCTGGGTAAAGTGCTGGCTGCAGTTTCAAAAGTTGTCTTTCCTGGAGCACATTGTGTTATGTACAACGTTACTTTCCCCTAGAACAGTGACAGCAAAAGGCAGACACCATGGGGTTGAAGGTTCTATTCTCAGGGACAAACACTTAACAATAATGTTGTGAGCGGTTTCTGACCAGTGGACCAAGGTCTGCCTGGGGGACCACCCAGCCTGCAAAGAGAAAGCATCTGAAAAAAATCCCTCTCCCTCTCTGAGATAGTAGGAACTGCCGATGCTGGAGTCTGAGATAACAAGGTGTAGAGCTGGATGAACACAGCAGGCCAGGCAGCATCAGAGGAGCAGGAAAGTTGACGTTTCAGGTCGGGACCCTTCTTCGTTACCACTCCCTCTCTGTCTCTCTCACTCCGCATGGAGGGACCAGAAAGTCTCCAGTAATAGCTCACTGTCTACTTTCTCCTCTCTCTACAGGCCTCTGTTGGAGGAGAAATGGAACACTTTTGTTGAGAATACAGCTTTTCCACTGTCAATGTAAAACAGCAGTGTGTGTGCAGACAACTGTGTATCAAAAGTGAAGAATGAAAAAGGAACTGGGAAAGGAAGAGAAAGAAACATCTCACTGAATCCTGTGATCACGGCTGGTGTTATTGCAGTGTTTCCCTGATCGTTTCATTTCCTTTTCCACCCTCAAGGCCCACCTCTGTCTGTCTGTGAGGGGGTTTTAAGGAAGGGACAGAGTCTAAGAATGTAGAGTTATAAGTTAAGAAATCATATTTCATCATTGCCATTGGTTAAAGAGTATTTGTTCATGCAGAAACCTGGTGAGTGTTTTAACGCAAGTTCATCAGGGCAGCTAAACTGGTGGCTTTGAGCAGATTAACTGAAGTTTCTCACATCTGTGATGACTCCGGAAATATTGTGCTCAGTTTCCAGCACAGTAGCCCAGTGGTTATGACACCATCTAGCTCGATATTCCAACCTGTTTTTTTTGTAAGACCAGCTCAGCTGGTGGCGCTGCCTTTGCCCTTTCCCTGTAAACTGTACATTTTCTTTCCTCAGAATATTCATTTACAGGATGAGGACATCGCTGACCGGGCAGCATTTATTGCTCACTCCTAATTGCCCAGAGGGCAACTGAGAGTCAACCACATTGCTGTGGGTCTGGAGTCACATGTGGGCCAAATCAGATAAGGATGGCAGTTTCCTTCCCTAAAGGACATTAGTGAACCACTTGGTTTTTCCCAACAATCAGTAACAGATTCATGGGCATGACTAGATTCTTAATTCCAGATATTTTTATTAATTTAAATTGCACCATCTGCTGTGGTAGGGTTCAAACACAATGTTATCTGGGTCTCTGGATTAACAATCCAGCGATAATACCACTAGGCCATTGCCTCCCCTACATGGGTATATGAACAAGGAAGGTATGGTCCAAATGCTGGAAAATAGGGCTAGATGAATTTAGGATATCTAGTCAACATGGACGAGTTGGACCAAGGGGTCTGGTTCCATGCTATACAGCTCTATGACTCGATCCAGTTCCCTTTTTGAATCTGCCTCCACCGCACTCCTGGCAGTGCATTCTGGGTCTTAACCACTTACTGTGTGAAACAGTTTCATCTTGTGTCACTACTGATGCTTTTTCCAATCACCTTAAACCTGTGAATCCTTCCACCAGTGGGAACAGGTTTTGTCCTGTCTACACCACCCACACCCCTCAGAACTTTGAGCATTTCAATCAAACTTCCTCCCAACATCCCTCTCTCCAAGGAGAACAGATGCAGCTTCTCCAGTCTATCCTTGTAACTGAAGCTCCTCACACTGGACCCTTTTCACATCCTATTGAAAGCTTTCATGTCCTTGGTAAAATGTCCCCAGACCGAATGCAATATACTTGCCAAGGCTGAGCCAGTGTTCTAATCAAATTGAATATAATTTCCTTCCTTTGAGATTTTATGTCCTTGTTAATACAGCCTTGGCTGCTGTATGCTTGTTGTAAAATCCCATCTGGTTCACTAATGTTTTTTAGGGAAGAAAACTGCCATTCCTACCTGGTCTGCCCTACATATGATTCTAGACCCAAAGCAATGTGATGGCTCTGATCTACCCTCTGGGCAATAAACGGTGCGCTTGGCAGTGATGTCCTTCTCCCATGAAAGAATAAATTTAAAAATGCTTCATTAATCATTCTCTGAACCTGTCTATCACAACGACCTCACATTTCACAATACTTCCAAATGTGAGCTCGTATCCACTCGATCCCAGACCATACTGCACTGTCACACTGTAATCACAATTCCAAACCGATACACAATTGAAACACAGAAAATAAATATTGATGAGCATCTGGGGAAAAGAGAATTGACTTTAATATTTGGACCCGAATGTTTTCAGGTTTTAGTCAGTAATTTTCAAAGATGTGAGGCTAAGATTGAAATGCAGCAAGAACCTTGCTTGCACGCTCATAGTACACGGTTGGAAATTCAGAAGGCTGGATTAAATCACAGTACACTGCTCCTCAAACACAGCCCTTCACTGCTTTGCAGTGTCTTTGTGTGAGAGCAACCAATTCTCCGCACTGCAGACAACACTTCCTATCTTCTGGAATGTTCTGCAGCCCAGTTTAATTGCTGTTGACAGCAGGTTTCCGAAAATGTATCCACTGGATGGGAGGGGGAGGGGAGAGGGGGTTGGGGGAATGGGTGGAGGGGGAAGAGGTTGGGGAGGGGAGGAAGGACCGGGGAGTTGTGGCGGTGGGGAGGTTGAGTGGGCAACAGGAGTATACTGCCAGGACGATTTCTGCACCCAGCCAGCGGACAGCTGAAGCAATGACAGGGAATAACAGAGAGAGACTGAAAGTGAATAATGCTCTGATACTCAGCTTGAGGCAGTCACAGACAACAAAGATGAGTGATCCTTTCACAGACACAATACAACTTGCACACTGACATGCAAATACAACAGGCGGTATTCAGGGATAGTAAGAGCTGCTAATGCTGGAGTCAGAGACAACACAGTGTGGAGCTGGAGGAACACAGCAGGCCAGGCAGCATCAGAAGAGCAGGAAAGCTGATGTTTTGGGTTAGGACCCTTCTTCAGAAATAGGGAGGGGTTGGGGATGGGAGTGGAAATGGTTCGCGACCGGAAGGTGTTGTCATTTGTCATGAACCGAGTGCAGGTGCTTCACAAAGCGGTCTCCGAGCCTGCGCTTGGTCTCACAGATGTAGAGGAGGCTACATCGGGAGCAGATGCAGTAGACCATATTAGCGGATCTGCAGGTGAACCTTGGTCTGATGTGAAAGGTTTGTTTGGTGCCTTGAATGGAGGTGAGGGGGAGGTGTAGGGGCAGGAGTAGCACTTCCTGCGGTTGCAGGGAAAGGTGCCGGGGGTGGTGGGGCTAGCGAGGAGTGTGGAGTGGACGAGGGAGTTGCGGAGAGAGCAGTCCCTATGAAAGGCAGATAGGGGTGGGGAGGGAAATATATCTTTGTTTGTGGAATCAGATTGCAGGTGGCAGAAGTGGCGGAGCATGATATGTTGAATATGGAGGTTAGTGGGGTGATCTGTGAGGACAGGGGGATCCTGTCTTTATTTTTGTTGGGGGGAAGGGGAGGTGAGGGCAGGGGTGTGGGAAATGCAAGAGATGTGGTCAAGAGCATTTTAGACCAGTAAAACGCTCATAGGCACTTTACTGGGGCATCAGCTGCACTTGCTACAGAATCACACACAGTCCTCAAGTCATCAGGATACAGAAGGAGACAACTCAGTTCATGAAACTCAATTCAGAACACAGTCAGTTCTATTCTCCCACTCAATTCCTGTAATCCCCTGACATAAACATACACAACAAATGTTCAATGTTGAGATTCTAAGAATAAATTTACAGTCAAAAAGTAGGGTTCAACTTGCACAAGTAACATTTTGTAGAGACTGAAACACACCCTCTCACAAGCCTGCACTATCACAGCGTAGCCTGATCAGCAACTGTTTCTGCTAACTGTCATGGTCATGGTGCAAAAACTCATCTCAAAGTCACATACAGCACCAGCTTGGCCAAGTCTGGTTCAGACTCAGATACTTGGCAGGGACAGGAATAAGATCCTAAGAAATAGGAGTAGGCCATTCAGTCCTTCACAAGTATGTTCCTTTAAAAAAGGTTATGGCTGATTTTTTTACTCATTTCCATATTCTTTAGCATCAAAAAATCTGTTGATTAATTGAGCTCATCCTTAAATATATTCAGCACTGGAACATTCAGCACAATCCTTTGGGACAAAAGATTCCAAAGATTTGCAATCCTCTTAGGGCTTTCTAGACTCTCACCATGTAAAAATTGTAGGATGTAGGATTTATGATCACTTGGAAAGGAAAAAAAAATCTATTTACTTGATAGAGGTGTACAAAATGATCAGAGGTACGGATAGAGTAGACAGCCAGAGACCTTTTCCTAGGGTGGAGGTAGCTATTACGAGGGGGCATAGTTTTAAAGTGAAAGGAGGTAGACACAGGGGAGACGTCAGAGGTAGGTTCTTTAATCAGAGAGTGATAGGGGCATGGAATGCATTGCCGGAGAGGGTAATGGAGTCGGCCTCATTAGGGGCATTTAAGCGGCTATTAGATAGGCATATGGATAATAGTATAAGGTAGGGGTGGAGGTTAGGAAGACCTTAGGATTAGGGTAAAAGTTCGGCACAACATCGTACTGTGCTGTACTGTTCTATGTAAAAAGGAACCAGCCTTTTCCCTTTCATAGAGATCACATTCCATCGACAATGTTCATGGCCAAGCATTTCCCCTCCTGATAACGGTTTACAGCAACTTGCAATGCTCCATATTTCTCACGTAGCTTTGTATTTTCAGCAAAAGTCACCATATAACACTGACTGCCTAACCCAAGCCGCTGATGTACATGGTAAATGGCTAAGGCCCGAGTGCCAATCACTGCAGTACCCTGTTAAACACAAAAAGGTAACCTGAGCACATCCCATTTGTTCCCATTGTATGCTTTGTACCCAGTAAACAATCAACAGTCCATGTTTATACATTACTGCATCTCATCAGCAGGACTTTGGATATGAACCCCTCGTCTGGTATCTTGCCAATGTCTTGTGAAATTACAACACTGGCTCCCCAAACCTACCAACTAGTTACAACCTGAAAAAAATCTTAGATTTCTCAAGCATGATTTGTACTGTAACTAAATTTGTGACAATACTAAGACTATTAGGAAAGCAAGCTTTCTTTATCATTTGTAACATGAGTATTGCTGGCTGCACCAGTATTTGTTGTCCATCCCTACACACCTTTGAGGTGGTGGGGAGCTGCCTTCTTGAACTGTTGCAGTCCTGGGATGGGCTAAGTACACCCACAATGCTCAGAGAGGGACTTTTGACCCAGCAACAATGCAGGAACGGCGATATATTTCCAAGTCAGGACAGTGAGTGGCTTGGAGGGGACCTTACAGGGCTGGTCTTCCCATGTATGTGCTGCCCTTGTCCTTCTGGGTGAAAATGCTCATGGGTTGGAAGGTGCTGTTTAAGGATCTTTGGTGAGTTTCTGCAGTGCATCTTGTAGATAGTACACACTGCTGCTACTGAGTGTTGGTGGTGGAGGGAGTGGATGCTTGTAGATATGGTGCCAATCAAGCGGCTGCTTTGTCCTGGATGGTGTCAAGCTTCTTGAGTGTTGTTGGAGCTGCACCCATCCAGGCAAGTGGGGAGTATTCTGTTACACTCCTGACTTATGCCTTGTCAATGATGGACAAGCTTTGGGGAGTTGGGAGGTGAGTTACTCGCTGCAGTATTTCTAGTCTCTGACCTGCTCTTGTAGCCACTGTGTTTATGTGGTGAGTCCAGTTCATATTCAGGTAAATGGTAAGTTGAGAGGGTTAGAAGTGTACAAAGCAATATAGACAACTTAAGTGAGTGGGCAAGTGTTTGGCTGATAGAGAATAATACGAGGTTGCCCTCAGATGAAGCAGTAAAAAGCAGAAAGACGTATTATTATTGAAATAGAGAGGCTGCAGAATGTTGAAGTATACAGGGCTCTGGCTGTCCTGGTACATGATTCACAAAAATACAGCATGCAGAAACAGGAGTGAATGAGGAAGCCAAATGGAATGGTGTTTTTTATTACATGGGAAATGGATAATGAGAGCCTTGCTGTAACTGTACAGGCTGTTGGTGAGATCACTCCTGGAATACCAAATATAATTCTGCTCTCATTATAAAGGAGGTGCCCTTCGAGGCAGTTCGGAGGAGGCTCACTCAGCTGGTTCCTGGGATGAAGGGGATATCTAACGAGATTAAGATGAGCAGACTGTGCCTATACCCATTGGAGGTTAGAACATTGAGAGGTGATCTTATTTCAATAGAAGTTCCTGAGGGGGTTGACAGTGTGGATGTCTCCTCTTGTGGGGAAATCTAGAACGAGGGAATGTAGTTTAAATTTCTGAAATTCACTAAAGTTCCTTAGGCAGTGCCTTCCAAACCCACAATCACTAACATCTGGAAAGACAAGGGCAGCAGATAGATGGAAGTAACAAGGGAGAAGCAGGTCTGGCAACTCAATACTCTGGAGAATTGGATCTCCAGACAGCTCAGGGAGGGTGTAACAGAGGTGGTGGTGTCACATTATTAATGACGGAATCGATTACTGCAATGAGGAGGAACAATATCTTAGAAGGGTTTTCAAATCAGACTTTGTAGGTATAGCTTAGGAATAAACAGGAGATGACAACACTTTTAGGAATGTGTTATAGACTCCGTAATAGTCAGTGGGCAACAGTCAGTGTCATACAGCATAGAAACAGACCCTTCAGTCCAACCATACATGCTGAGGAGCAAATACGTGGACAATTCACTAACGGGTGGAAAAACTATAAATGCATAATTATATTAGGGCAGTTTGACTTGCATGGTACGATCTACCTGTATAGCACGCAAAACAACACTTTTCACTATCCCGCCCCAGCCCTTCCTTATGCCCACATCTCCCCATTATCCCCCCACATCCCCACCCCCACATCCCCTCCTTATCCTCCCCTCCCCCACCCCC